GTGGTTTGTATAGAGCTGAGGCTCTAAACAATCAAGGTAAAGTGCACTTTCAAATAGTATATAGGCGTGGTTTGTATAGAGCTGAGGCTCTAAACAATCAAGGTAAAGTGCACTTTCAAATAGTCTTTGTGATAGCCTTAAAAAATATTTTCATCTCTAATTATAAAATTTGAGGTTTAAAAAAAGAGAGAAGATCGACCACATCTATGAAAACTTAAAAATATTGAAAATTGACCGTCCAAACAAACATTACAAGATGTATTATTTTCAAAACTTGAAATCCATTTTTTTTTCTTCCATGCATCTCGATGTTGAGATGATCAATTTGAAGATATTTGAGCATAAAAGCAACCTCTTTAGCGAAATTATTGAGGTGGGCTCTAATTTGATTGTTTAGAGCCTTGGCTCTATATAAACTTTTTCCTATAGATAGGAAAAGAAAAGTTCAAGGGAAATGTCGGAAGCATTTTCGCGGATAGACAAGGCAAATAAGGATTAGGGAGTGTTTTATTTGTTGTGAAGCGCTTTGGTTCCTTGTGCAAAAAGTTTTATTTTTTGTGGGGGAAATAAGGGACAAATGGAAAATTACGCGTTTTAGTTGAAAAATCTACCACAACATAACGCCTAATTATTATTACTTAGCTAGCAAGAAGTTTGGCCCATACAATTTCCGGTTAGAAAAATAGCGGAAGTAGTCAAGATATAATTTTATCAGGTGAAGCACAGCTATGGAAATTTCAGAATTCCTGACCAGTTATCGCATAAAGCTATATTCTGCCCTCCTCCATAGTCAAACTTGCAAGTTTGCTCTCTTCACTAATGACCTTGACCGCCCTCCCCCAAATGAAACCCAGGCGTAAGCAGTCGCTTTTATTCGGCCTCGTCAATCCGCCTTGCCTATATATACCCATTCATTCCTAAGCATTTCTCACTCTTTAGTCTTCACCCAACACCATTTCTCTCTCATCTTCTCTCTGTAACGAAATAAGAGAGAGAAATACTTGCCTAATTCCCAAACATCTTTCCGTTTTAACTAAATAAGAGAGAGAAATACCTCTCTGAATCCCCAACATCATTTCTCCTTGCCCTGTGATCAAATACAGAGACAAAAGGAAGAGCTCTGCTTCTGCTGGTTTGTAAAGTTGCAGGCATGACGAGGCGAAGCTTGCGCGAATTCTTGTACTCAGCGGCATCCATCGGAAGCGGCAGCAGTAGCGTCAGAACCCTCTCCCCATCTCCTTCTCTGAACTCCATGGATCAAAGCCTGTTTGAAGCTCAGGACATGATCATGAAGTGGGACGCCAACTCCTCGGCGTATGCGAAGATCACCTCTCTTTTCCACTCCAACCGAAAGGAGGGAAAGGAGTACCTCAGGAGGGTGGGGGAGCTCCGAAAGGTGATGAATGCCATCGTCGCGGCGGACGCCAGCTCGCCGAAGCTGGTGCACGCGCAGAAGCTCATGGAAACAGCGATGAAGAGATTGGAGAAGGAATTCTATCAGATACTGGCCTCCAACAGGGACCACCTCGACCCGGAATCTGTTTCTGGCCGGTCCTCTGCGCGAGCAAGCACGTCAGACTCTGAGCCCAATGATTCCGAGGACGATGAAATACAGAGGGCGGACGAGTCCATTGCTGAGGTTGAGCGGGTATCGTCGCTGGCCATGTCGGACCTACAGTCGATTGCTGAATGCATGATTTCATCTGGGTATGGCAAGGAGTGCGTCAAGATCTACACCCTTGTCCGGCGCTCGATTGTTGATGAGGGCCTCTACAAGCTCGGGGTTGAGCGCTCGATTTCGGCGCATAAGGTCGACTGGGTTGTCCTGGAGATGAAGATCAAGGTCTGGCTGCACGCTGCCAGGGTTGCCTTGAAGACCCTGTTTGCCGGGGAGAGGATACTCTGTGACCATGTATTTGCTTCTTCTGATTCGATCCGCCAGTCCTGCTATTCAGAGATAGCCGCTGAGGCCGCCCTCTCCCTCTTCTCCTTTCCAGAGTCCATCGCCAAAGGTAAGAGGGCGCCTGAAAGGATGTTCCGGATGCTAGACATGTACGACGCCATCTCCGACCTCTGGCCTGAGATCGACGCGGTCTTCTCTGATGAGGTAATGGCATCTGTTCGTTCCAAGGCTCTCTCAGCGCTGGTGAAGCTCGGCGAGACCATCCGTCTCTTGCTCTCTGATTTCGAAAGCGCCATTCAGAAGGACACCTCTAAGACTCCCGTACCCGGCGCCGGCATCCACCCCCTGACTCGCTACACCATGAACTATCTTGGCTTCTTGGCCGATTACCAGGACGCTCTGGGGGAGATTTGCGCCGACTGGCCGCTAAATGTTCCGGAGTCCCTCCCGGAAGGCTTGCTCGAGTACTCAGCCGACTCTCTGAACTCCCCCACGTCTGCTGCAGCGGCGCGGTTGTCATGGCTAGTCTTGGTGCTCCTCTGCAAGCTCGATGGAAAGGCGCAGCACTACAAAGATGTCGCACAGTCGTACCTCTTTCTCATAAACAACCTCAACTATGTTGTCGCGAAGGTCCAGGGCTCCGAGCTGGGCTTTTTGCTCGGCGAGGAGTGGATCGCCAAGCACGCCGCCAAGGTGAAACAATACGCCCCCAAGTTCGAGAGGGTCGCATGGGGGAAGGTGATCATGACGTTGCAACCAGGGGAAGCCTCATCTCTGGAGTCTATCAATGATTCTGAGGCAAGAGTGAGGCTTGCGAGGTTCAATTTCGCGTTCGAGGAGGCGATCAGGATGCAGTCGGGGTGGAGCATTCCCGATTTGAAGATCCGGGAAGAGCTGAAAGCAACAATAGCGCAGAGGGTGGTGCCGGCATACCGATCGTTCTATGTAAGATTGAGGTCCTCTGCTCCACAGGTGGAGATGGTTCCGGGGAGTGGTGTGAAGTACGCACCAGAGGATCTTGTGAACCATATTTCCCATTTGTTTAGTGGCTCCAGTGTCAGCTCAGGACACTCCTCCTCGCATTCCTCCTGATAACTGCTGCTTCCCGGCCATAATCGGATTTCAAATTTTACACACGATTGGTTTGGCGACTGTAATGTTTAAGTTTTTTTGTAGAGGGCGAAAAACCAAGTTTTTCTTTTGGGATTGTATAAACCATCTGTGAAATAAATGCAGTTAACTGATCTCGCATCTAATATTAATGGTGACCATTTTGTATTAAAGGTTAATATTTTTATATTATATATATATATATATATATATAGATATATATATATATATATATTTGTTGTAGAACGTAAAAAAATTAAATTCAGTATTAG